TAGTTTAGCACTGGGTCCCACTGGGCGTGCCAAAATGTTGACCCTAGAAACTACAAAGCCTACGTGGCGCGCAGGCCGAGTATTCTATAAGCTAACTACGTCCTTCGGTGAATGCGGGGCGTGCCAACTCGTCGGCCGAGCTCGGCCGAGGAGTAAATTTGTTGATGTTGCGTTGGGTCGCGCTACTGACTTCTGCGTCTTGCGATTGCGGTCGAGAAAGGAACACGTCTCGGCCTCTTGGGCTCTCAAACCTGAAGACAAGGTTACTATTCTTACGAAGTTCAATATCAAATTCGGCTTTCAATGTGCCGAATGTAATAACTGTAACACCCCACTTCGCCGAGAAGGCTAATGAGATGACCTCGACCAATAAGGATTCAGAAACCTTTCTCGACCGAGACTTGGATAGGTAATCAATCGTTCTCGCCGCAGTGCTGTTGATGCCAACGGAAGATACTGCGAAACCGACTGACTCTACGGTGATAGAGCTATCTATGCCGACTTAAGATATCACCGGTTGCTTCCACAGTGCTGTTGATGCCAACGGAAGATGTGTCAGCGAAAAAGAAAGAGAAAAATCACAAGTTGTGAGAATTTGCGCAGGGCAATTTTGTGTTGATTTGCAGGGAGCTTTTCCTGGTGCACAGCTTCCCCTATTTATAGCACTGGACCTTAAGTCCGAGTTAGAATCCTATTTGGACTAGGTTTTCCTCTCCGGATCAACGTCACCTCGACCAGTCCTATCTTTACTAGGACTATGAATCTAGTCCTTAACTGAGCCGGATTTGCCTTCTGGATTACTGATCCCATCGAGACTCCTCATTGTGCTAGGACTCGGCTGGCGTTCTGACCTAACCGCCCTAGGCTGGGAAGCCCACTAGCCGATCGGCCTCCCGGGCCGAGAGTGATCCTACCCTCGGCCCAAATTAATATTTTGGGCCCAAACAACATTCTACCAAGATCAAAACCTGTCTTTGTCTTTACAATTTGAACATCACTTTGATGGCGTTACCCCCACGAGCACTTGTTGCAAACGCTTCTTCCACCTCATTCTCAGTAAATCCAAAACGGTGCGTGATAAGCGGCTTCACATCGATCTTCCCACTTCTCAAAAACTCGAGGCAAAGCGGCCATGTGTTCTGGTATCGGAAAACTCCAACAACGTCAACCTCCCTAGCAGCAGCGGGAGTCAGAGGCACCGTCATCACACCGTGTCCCATTCCTACCAGGCAGACTTTTCCGCCCGGACGAGTAGTATTGAGGCCGGTCGACATGGTTTTGTTGAAACCCACACAATCGAAGGTCACATCCACTTCGGAGATCATGGCTTTTTTAATTTCAGCAACTTCATCATCTAAGTCCTCCATTTTTGTCGAAACTTTCACGGTTTCATCAGCACCGAGAGACTTTGCCATTGCTAGACGCTTGTCATCCATATCCACAATCACAATTCTTGGTGCCCCGAAAGCACGAGCGGCTAAAACTGAAACGAGACCAATAGGCCCTGCTCCGGTGATCAGAACAGTTGTTTCGGGACCAACATTGGCTCGCCGACAAGCGTGAACCCCAATACTCAAGGGCTCACACATTGCCCCTTCCTCCAAACTCACGTTTTTTGGCAATTTAAAGCAAAGATCTGCAGGGTGCACAATCTGATTAGCCAAGGAACCATGAACCGGTGGGGTGGCGAAAAACTTCATATCAGGGCAAAGATTATAGCGGCCTCCTTTGCACTGCCGGCACCGTGCGCAGCTGATGCCGGGCTCTACCGCCACACGGTCCCAGGTACCAAATGCTTCACCGCGCTCCCAACTTTGTCTACGATTCCTGCACACTCGTGTCCGATTACCATTGGCTCTTTCACCTCAAAATCCGCACATTTCATGGTCTTGAGGTAGTGGACATCGCTTCCACAAATGCCGACAGCCTTGATCCGAATTCGAACATCATGGGGTCCTAAAATTAAGAAATCCCAACAAAACAAGGGAGCAAGATGTTAGCACCAATACAACTAAGAAAACATAACCAAGAACCATAAACTGAAAACCCAACGAAAGCTAGGAGGGAATTAAGAACAAGGAGAGAGATACATACCGATAATGGGGAGCTTGAAAGGTAGGATCTTGATGGTGTTAACATCAACGAGCCAAGCAGCCATGTTTTGCTGCTCAACAGGTTTGGCTTCTCTTACCACGCCATTGCTGGATTGGCCTCCCTTACCCATTCTTTACTCTTCTCTGTATTTTTCTTAAAGTGTTTTCTTGTGTTTGAAAGACACAAACTTCGTCTTCTTCAAGTAAAATGGACTAAGAATACACGGAAATTGGAATACACAGACTTGCTTGATTTGTTGATGGAAATAGAGTGGATGCGGGGATGGTATTTATATGAGTTTGAAGGAGTGTGATTTGGTCAAGTTGCGCTTGTACAGCTATGTAAAATTAGGATAATCCAAAACCAAATTATTATCCAATTTCTCTTAGGAAAAGGATTAGTATCCGTTACCAATTAACGGACGGATATTCTTGGCTCCTTTCCGAGGAGGGGCAGTTAATTTACTTTTGTAAATTAATTTTTGACAAGTAAGAAATAAGTCACTGAAAATATAAATAAAAAAATTTATGTGCACATGTTCAATGTGATTGGTATGTATATAAAATGATTTATTTCTAAGGAAATGAGCCAAGTATTTTACATAACAAAATGTGCTAGACAATGCAACAGTGTCAATCAGAAGATGAATTGCACTTGGAAGTGTCCCACAATTCCATCAATTACTCGTGTAAAACAAAATACTTCTTTTTGGAATGTTAGTAACATTTTCTTATCTTATTTGGTCATTCCGTGGTTGATATTCTATCATCTCATGCACGATTTTTGTCAAATATATTATTCTCCGTTACAATCACACTTTTGGGTATATCACTTCCTTTGGATTTGGAATTGGTATCTCATTATGAAAAAGAGAAATGTTAAGGAGACTTTTGATGGACTCTCCACCACATCAGGTTTTTTGCACAATTCTCGCGTTAACATTATAAAATATTGTGCTAAAAACATGAGGAGACGGAGAATACATGAAGAGTTTCACTTTGAGAAAGTCTGCTTAGCACATCTCGAGAGAAAAACCTCTATGTTTAATTGCAAATTTCACCCCATAATAATAGTTAATACTATATAACAGATTTAAAATATTATTACAATGATAATTATATAATATAAAGTTCTCAATTTTAGGAGCCTAACAGGTAATATAATTCATTGATAATAAATATATAAATAACAGGTAAACTAATTTTTCTAAGCAACATAAATATTTGGGGATTGATACTTGCGAGTTTCTTGGAAGTATCCGAATCTAATTAAGTCACAAGATGCGAAAAGAGTAGGTGTAGGCCTAAAATTAAAATTCAATAATGAACGGATGTTATGCATTTGCTGAATCCATTCCACGACATGCAGAGTCAGATTCACGTAGCAAACCGTCCGTTGTGGTCCAGCATCTTAATTATTTAGTTTTCAGCAGTAGTTAATTTGGTGCTCAATTCCTAACAATCTTCACTACGAAGGTTTAATTTCTAAACAACATTTTTTACAGTAAATATACACTAATCACGTGTTGGTGGTCAAATATATGAACTTTTAGTTAGAACCTAAGAGGTCACACACATGGTAAGTTCTAATAACGTTACATGAATGATGATAAGATATAATTAATTGCTAATTATATTGCATTAGTTGTTTAGGTTTATTGGATATGATTTTAATTAAAATAATTTCGGGCTTTATTTTTCTTTTGGGCATGAGGTTGATACATTTGTGGATACTAACCGTACAAATTCCATTAGTCAAATGAGTGTTTTTTATTATGATACTTGTACAGTTAGTATCCACAAATGTGTAGATAGATGTATGCAAATGTTGTCCTTAATGAATATGATGGTGATCACAAGATTAATTGGGTGTGAGTATTCTAGAATGGACCATCTCATATTAGTAACCAATTAAATGAATGAATGGTTGAATATACAACCAAGAATTTAATGGTTAAGGATTTTATTTTATTTTTTGTCAAACGATAAATTTATTATATTAAATCATATAGCATGATCCACACAACATAGACTTAGGCTATCAACTCCGATTTGAACTTATGATATGGTTTTCTGTTCAAAGGTATTTTGCTTTCACTTAGGATTTTCTCGCAAACATAGATTTGTGGAAAACTATAAAACTATTTTCCGTGGTGATATAGTGTTATCTTTCATATTATTCAATCCAAACTTTGAGGCTTTTCTCAAATTTTTTAGTAGATTTCACATTTCTAATACTTTAAATTTAGTTTAATTTCCTTCTTATTCTTATTATCATAATGGGTCACGACAAAAAATAAACCGAATATATTAAAAAACGAATGTAATTATCGAGATGTAATGAAAACCCGAATTTTTTGTAGTCTCTAATTGAGAGTTTAGTTGCCTTAATGTTGTTCTATAGCAGCACGAGATGAAGGCGAATAATAAGACATGTATCTTCTCACATATTATATAATGGCTCAATTGATAAAATAGTCCATTTGTATTTTGAAATCCCCCACAAACAAATAAAAATTTGAAAAACTGAAATAAAGAGCAAAAACAAAAAGATAAGAGCCTCGCACTACTAGAATTATAGTAATAGAACACTAATATTTACACACCATTTACAATTGGTGACTATAGACATTAAGATGGCATTCTTGGCTTTTTTTGGTGTCTTTTTAGTTAATGCCACTAATACTAGTGGCCTTCTAATTTGTGGAGAAAATTTCCATTGTGACAGGAACACATATGGTTATTCTTTAATTTATTAACTTTCTAGTACACATATCTCACCATTTGTATAGTGACACGTGGTGTACCATCCCGTGTACTGATCACACTGAAAAATCTCTTTAATTTTTTTATTGGTGTCCTTTTATTTTTGGTGTCTTTTAAGCTGAGATTGGTGTCTTGCTTTTGTGTAAAAATCTAAATCCTCTCTCTCCCCTTCACAAACGTCCAACACCTCATTCGCTTCATTCTCTCTTTTTTCCCTCTTCTCTTCACGCAACGGCGCCGACAACGGGAGTCGAACACAAACGATAGCGATGAGAACACCAACGACCGTCAACTTGTACCTCCAAAATTCTCTTCTCGTCCTCTTTCCAACGCCCAAGTTAGTTTCATCAAATTCGAAGCCGAATTTCCTTAATTTCAAATCTAAGAAACAGTAACCGGGGGTTTTCCGGCCAATTTACGGTCAAGCTTGCCGGAATTGAACTTGACCCAAGAGGTAAAGATGATCCTCTCCTCGTGGGCTATCCCTCAATGTAAGTTCTTTTCCAAAATAAAAGTGTTCAGCTTTTGGATTGATTCTAGATTTTAAATCTTTATTCCATTTTCTGTATGCATGTCGAAGATTGGGGACGAGGAAGGTGAATCAAGGTTGTTTGTGACCTGGGCCGAGAAGAATGGAAGTTTTTGTAGGTCTTAGTTGCTAGAAGAGGCGAGGAAGAGCGTGCCGAAAAGTGGGAAGGTGATGCATTTTGTTCAGGCGTTTGAGAAGTTGCTTTCGATTCCGAGCTCGAAGGATTCGGATGAGCAGAATGGGGAGGAGGAAGCGGCGGAAGAGATTGGGAAGAAGGTGGTGAAGTGGGCATTACCCGGATTGCAACCTCAGCCTAAGGCGTCGGAAACACAGGTCTCATCTTATTCGTTTTTCTCGTCGGACTTGTTCTTGACGTCAGATAATCTTGGTCTGGATTGGCGAACTTTAGTCTCTTCTTCTTGGGATGGAAGTCTGGGAAGGTTAGCAATTATACTTGATTAAGGTTAGCATGAGAATTTGATGCACATCAGGTGTTTGTTGTATGTCCTGACTGAGTTTGGTTGTGCTCTTTTGACTAAACAGTGTCTCAAACAGGACTTTGAATTTTGAGGGGGGTGCAAAGGAGCCGAAGAAATGTGAGTCTTGTCCTTACTGTTTTTACATTATTTGGAGATTGAAAATGATTAACTAACCCAGGTTACCTCTGTATTCCGGTTTGAATTTCAGAGCTCTGAATCTTCTAGCACAATCGGATAAGGGAGATGGAAGAAGAAGAAGCAACAGAGAGACACTAGCGCTAAGCCATTCAAGCTAAGAATAGTGGTAAAGTGTTAGATCCCACATCGCCCAAGTGTGAGAATCCTGTAAGCCTTATATGTACATTCCCATCTCTACTTAGCACGAGGCCTTTTGAGAGCTCACTGGCTTCGAGTTTCGTAGGAACTCCGAAGTTAAGCGAGTTCACGCGAGAGCAATCCCAGGATGGGTGACCCACTGGGAATTTCTCGTGTGAGTTCCCAGAAACAAAACCTTGAGGGCGTGGTCGGGGCCTAAAGCAAACAATATCGTGTTATAGCGGAGTCGAGCCTAAGATGTGGTGGGGGCCCAGGCCGGATGTGATAATTTGGTATCAGAGCCAATCTCTGGGCGGAAATGTGCTGACGAGGACGTTGGGCCCCTAAGGAGGTGTATTGTAAGATGGGTGACCTACTGGGAAGTTCTCGTGTGAGTTCCTAGAAACAAAACCGTAAGGGCGTGGTCGGGGCCCAAAGTGAATAATATCGTGCTATGGTGGAGTCGAGCCGGGATGTGGTGGGGTTCGAGCGGGGATGTGACATAAACTGTGCTGAAAATGAATGGTATCGAAAAGCACTTGAAAGTTTACTTGGTTTACGTTGCTTCTAACTTCGTTTTGTGATATCATTGTAGGAAAGGGGAAGAGTTCACGAAGAAGCTACAAGAGATGATGATGGAGGAGGATAGACAGCGGAAACCAATTGCTCAGGGCCTCCCATGGACAACTGACGAACTAGAAGTATAGATACCAATTCAAAATCACATGAAAATGACTATATTTAAGTGATTTTATTGCTATTGCAAGACAGACAAGACCGAACCACTAACTTGTATGCATATCTTTGTATTTGTCATCTCAGTGCTTACTGAAACCTCCGGTAAAAGAAATAACAATACCAACAGACCTGAAGCTCCACAGTGACATGCGGGCAATAGAGCGAGCAGAGTTTGACCATCAGGTGATTTTGAATACATCATACTTAAGAATATGCGCTTTGTCTCTATATTTTCAATCACTCTCAGCTTAGTAGTGCATATGAACTCTATTTGAAAAAAATTGTTTTCAGGTAGCATTTGGGAAATAAGTTTTGACTCGAGTTTGTAGAATTAACTTTGTGACATCATCCTAACATGTAAATTACTTGTGGGGACAAATTTTGTAGTATCAACTTTTCTATTTGCATCGTAACATGCAATAATCTTAACATGAAATGAACAACTGTGAGATATCTATAAGGAAAACTTCATGAAGTTGCTCTTCTTAAATATGTTGCTTGGAGATAACAGATGTATATAAGTGTTGGTATGTTGGGCACGTGACAATGAATTGCCTTTCTGAATTTGCTTTTTATGTGTGTTCACCCATCAGGTGGCAGAGAAGATGAGCCTGTTGAGCAAAATAAGATGGAAAGAGAAAGACCGCTGAAGGTAAAGAGTTATTGCACTTGAGCAATTCAGTTATTGAGATGATTAAGCTCTTGGAAACAAAGGGTTCGAAGACTTTTTAAAGTTTGGTTCCAACATTTGTACAAAATTGTATAAAATATCAGTTATGCAAATTTATAGTTGTATTCTTACATTTTAATGATATTACAATTTGTTTTCTCACCAAAAACAAAAAAAGAAATATGATACTCCAATTTGGGTGCCCACACAGGGCATCCTTTTTTTTAAAACACAATTTGCAACTTTGCCACCAATGTGAATTAGGGTGGCAATGTTTGCAGATGCCACCAATGTAATAAGGGTTTCCGTTGTTACAATAAAGTCCTCTACATAGGCCATGTTCTCTTATTTAGTGGTTGTTTGGTAGCCATTGAGGTTTGTCACCAATAAGAGTGTCCACACTTGACAATAGACACCAATGAAAAAAGTGGCTTTTAGCCAAAATTCTAGTAGTGTCGACGTCGATAAAATATCCCATTTGCATGTAAATTTTATATCCATGTCCAGCCTTTTTTGTTTATTGTATTTCCAGTTGTCTTGGTGCAGATTAATACACTATTTTATCGTTGCATAATTCCATCCACACTCCACAGTACCACAGAATCAACGGGTATTAGGGACTGTTGAATGGATTCCACGGCATGCAGAGTCAGATTGATGTAGCATCCCTCCTCTCTCTCCACCACGTAGGTCCCACGTCGATTCAATTTTTGGTAGATTTTGTGGTCGCTTCACTTTTTGGATAGAGATAGTTGAGCAATTTTTAATTTAAACCAAGATTAGGGATGCAACCCTAGAAGGAACAATATTTGGAGTAGTTACCTCAATTGATACGGGATCATATCAGATATCAGATAAATTATTTATTTATTTTAGCCACTAAATTAATTTAGACAATAAGAGGATGATAAGGTTTGAATTCATAACGTAATGGGTTAAAAATTCAATAATTTACCACTACAAAAAATAAATTTGTCTTATTATTTTAGGCAATGATATAAATATGAAGTTTATCAAATAAAAATGTATGATGGGGCCAGTAAATATCTGATTATTAAAATTAACATTGTCTACCACTTAGTACTACGGTCTAGTAATATTCATCTTCATTTGTAAGTGAAAAGTCTTAGGTTTGATTCTTGCTAAAGACGAATTTGAACCACATTATTGATAGTCCATAGTGAGGCTAAGCCCATCCAACTCATCTTAATGTAGAAATATCGATTGTTTAAAAAAATACAAAACCAATATTGTCAAGGCAAACCACTTAGCCTAATATCAAATAATGTTGCAATGTCTCCTAAGGACCAAAGAAAACTCTTTAACTAATAACCGTCAATTGGGATTTTCTGGCGCATCAAATGTCAGTGACGAAGTTTGGAGTATGAAAGTCAAAGAGCCGTTGTACGGACAACAATTAGAACGACTAATGCTAGATTTATTATATTTTTCATACTACATTTGTATTATTTATCTAATAGAAATAGAGTCACTAACACATGTGAGTTCTATTTCTATTAGAGAATAACATTTTTTTTTTGGTATAAAAAAATGATAAGAATAACATTTTGTAGTTATAATAACAATTGGATAATGAATGCCCCAATAATACACACTCAAACACGCCTTGGCAATAATTGACGGGTTCATAATTGATGTGAACAAAGTCACTTGAACAAGCCAATAGATTTTCAATGTTTGAGTATGTACATTGGAAGGTAAAACATTGTCTTAAGTTTTAATAAATTTGGAGTGTGCATTGGAGGTGGTTGAAGTTAGAACTTAATGTCATTTTTCTTGTTGGAATACCTTATTAGCGTGACCTTTATCTTAGACTTAAATCTTATATTGAAACTCATAAGTTTCATTTGAACTCAAAAGTTATATATATATATATATATATATGTCTTCACTTTGTAGTGCATAGGAGAGCAATTATTTTTATTCTCGTACCTATATTTTTATATTTATATGTAGAGCTTTTATTCGTATACCTATATTTTTATTTTTATATTTATATTTATGTCTAAACGTAAAGCACATATCCAAATCTTTGAGACTAAATTTGGATTAAATATTTGAGTATGTGGATTTGAAGTGTTAACCTTGGAATGCAATGATTTCGGGTTTTGTTGCACTTGAGTTCGATTCCCTTGCAATTGTTTATGAGGTGAACTAGCATTTTGGGCAGATGAAGAATATGGTCTCGACATGAATGATTGCGTCACTTTCACGCCAAAGTTAGGCTTTGGCCACAGGGTTTTAAGATTTAGTTTGATTTAGTATGAATGCAAGCCTTTCTGCTTATTGTTGCATAATTCCATCCACAGTACCTTTTCTTTGTCGATCATGCACAGTAATTTGCTCTAAAGAGATTTAGGTGGAGCAAAGGGAGTCGGTAAAAATGCTTTAAGAATGGGGAATTTTTTATTTTCTTACTGTTCTAAAATGCTATTAAAATTTAGGCTATGGCCACGAATTTTGAGGAGGCGGCTTGTCATTGTGACATTTTCTTCAATAGCCACACATGGGGAAAAACCGTGGCTTTTGTCGCTTGGGAATTTGATTGCATTTTCGTTCAATAGCCACACTTGGGGAATTTGAGGCGGCGGCTCGCCACCATTGAGTTAGCAAAGGAGTGGAGGATTCCTTTTTGTTAAGCTCCGCGGTAACAAAACAAACAGAATGAGAAGCCCACCAAAAGTAATACTATTATTACTTAAAAAACCATACAGTGGAACGGAACTTGCTTATTGAGTTATGACATGTAAATAATCCCCCCAACACCCCACCCTCTACATTCTACTAACAATTTGATCATCAAAACCTGTCTTCGTCTTTACAATTTGAACATCACCTTGATGGCATTACCCCCACGAGCACTTGTTGCAAACGCTTCTTCCACCTCCTTCTCAGTAAATCCAAAACGGTGTGTGATAAGCGGCTTCACGTCAATCTTCCCACTTCTCAAAAACTCGAGGCAAAGCGGCCATGTGTTCTGGTATCGGAAAACTCCAACAACGTCAACCTCCCTAGCAGCAGCGGGAGTCAGAGGCACCGTCATCACACCGTGTCCCATTCCTACAAGGCAGACTTTTCCGCCGGGACGAGTAGCATTGAGGCCGGTCGACATGGTTTTGTTGAAACCCACACAATCGAAGGTCACATCCACTTCGGAGATCATGGCTTTTTTAATTTCGGCAACTTCATCATCTAAATCCTCCATTTTTGTCGAAACTTTCACGGCTTCATCAGCACCGAGAGACTTTGCCATTGCTAGACGCTTGTCATCCATATCCACAATCACAATTCTTGGTGCCCCGAAAGCACGAGCGGCTAAAACTGAAACGAGACCAATAGGCCCTGCTCCGATGATCAGGACAGTTGTCTCGGGACCAACATTGGCTCGCCGACAAGCGTGAACCCCAACACTCAAGGGCTCACACATTGCCCCTTCCTCCAAACTCACGTTTTCCGGCAATTTAAAGCACAGATCCGCAGGGTGCACAATCTGATTAGCCAAGGAACCATGAACCGGTGGGGTGGCGAAAAACTTCATATCAGGGCAAAGATTATAGCGGCCTCCCTTGCACTGCTGGCACCGTGCGCAGCTGATGCCAGGCTCTACCGCCACGCGGTCACCAGGCACCAAATGCTTCACCTCGCTCCCAACTTTGTCTACGATCCCGGCACACTCATGTCCGATTACCATTGGCTCTTTAACCTCAAAATCCGCGCATTTCATGGTCTTGAGGTAGTGAACATCACTTCCACAAATGCCGACAGCCTTGATCCGAATTCGAACATCATTGGGTCCTAAAATTAAGAAATCCCAACAAAACAGGGGAGCAAGACGTTAGCATCAATACAACTAAGAAAACCGAGAATTAAAAACAAAAAATTGAAAACCGAAGGAAAGAAGGACGGAATTAAGAACAAGGAGAGAGATACATACCGATACTGGGGAGCTTGAAAGGTAGGATCTTGATGGTGTTGACATCAACAAGCCAAGCAGCCATGTTTTCCTGCTCAACAGGTTTGGCTTGTCTAACCATGCCATTGCAGGATTGGCCTCCCTTGCCCATTTTTTTTACTCTTCTCTGGTTTTTTATTTCTGGAGTGTTTGTTTGTGTTTGAAAGACACAAACTTCTTCTCCTCCAAATAAAATGAACACAGAAGACACAGAATACACGGACTTGTTTGATTTGTTGATGGAAATAGAGTGGATGCGGGTGGTATTTATATGAGTTTGGAGGAGTGTGATCTGTTCAAGTTGCACTTGTACAGCTATGTAAAATTAGGATAATCCAAAACCCAAATATTATCCAATTTCTTTTCCGAAAAGAGTATCCGTTTCGAGAGGGCCGTTAATTCTTTTTTAATTATTTTTTGACGGGTAAGAAATAAGTCATCAAAATTATATAAAAAAAAATGTATGCACATATGTCTAACTGTAATTTGTATAAATATAAAAAAGTTTTATTTAAAGAGAAGAGTCAAGCAATATAAGTAACAAAATGTTCTATTGACAATGCAACAGGTCATACTGAACCTCTCTTTTGAAAAAAAAATTCGAAAGATATATTGCATTTGGAAATGTCCCGTAATTCCATCAATTACTTGTCTATAACTGAAATAACTTTTTTTAGAATGCTAATAACATTTTCGTATCTAATTTGGATATTCCGTGGGTGATATGTTATTATCTCTTGCACAGTTTTGCCAAATATATTATTCGTCCGCTACAATCACACTTTTGGGTATATTCCATTGGAATTGGAATTGGAATTGCTCTCTCCTTTTTGGAGAAACTTGTTTGTGCAATTGTAAATATCACGCCGTAATACTATATAATTGACTTAAATATCGTTGTAAGCACATTTATATATTTAAAAAAATTTGATTTTGGGTGCATAATTAGAGATTTTTAGTGTGTTTAGAACACCGACAAATAGGTTGTATGTTTTTATACAAATTGAGAGATACCTAAAAAAACCGTTTTACCATTTATTTAATACATTTGACATATAATCCGTATTCCAGACACGTTAAAAAATCTCTCCCCTTAACTCGGAAGCAGCCAAATCTAAATCACAAGATGCAAAAAGAGTAGGTGAAGGCCCAAAGTTGAATGAGCGGACATTATGCATTTGCTGAATCGATTCCACGACATGCAGAGTCAGATTCACGTAGCAACCGTCCGTTGTGGTCCCGCATCTTAATTATCTAATTTTCAGTAGTGGTCGAGTGGGTTTGAAGGTTAAAACTAAGATTAGGGTATTGCAACTAAAAAAGAAACATATTTGAAGTAATTACCTGCCTTGATACATGGGATCCTACCGGATAA